TGCAGCAGAAAGAGGCACATGTCTTGTTCAGCACCTTCCAGCAGCAATGCTGGGACTGGGAGGTCTAGAAGGCCTGTTTCCCAGCTCCAGGCTGGATAGTATCCTCAGCATACAAGCAAGTTTTAAGGAAACCACATTGGAAAGGGCAGAAACAAAGGGTTAAATCTGTACCCAGGTGGAAAGGCTGTTGCATAAATACTGAGAGAGTTTTTTTTTAAGATCTCATGCTTCTTTTTTACTTTGTGTTGGCAAAAACCCCAGGAAAAGATGGGAGATTCTGGGAGGAGATGATTATGCTGGGTGAGTCAACTGAGCTCCCCAGCTGCCGTTTTTAGTTCCTTTGCTTTTCTGTAACAGGAGGCAGTTTGAGGAGGGGTTGGGGGCAGGGTGGGAATACTGATTTGTGCATCAGGACGGGAGGCAGGTGTGTATGGGTGAAATTATTTTGACACCCTAGAGTTAACAGGGCCTTACAGTCATTACGTTGGTTCAAGTAAGAAACATTAAAGCAGAACTCTTAGTGTGGCAAACAATAAATGAATGTCTTCTAGATTCTTATACAAGTCACTGTCTGTCCCCAATTGGTAGCTCTTAGGATGGCTTGAGTTGCATTCATGGTCACAGCAAAACACAATGGTTTTGATAGCAAAGCAGTAGAGAAACTGAATGTGGAGAGGCAGAACTGTCTTAAGTGGGAGGGCCTGGTGGTTGTCACGGGCAGCAGGAAGTTTGAAGGAGAGGGTTTTCCCTCTGATGAAAGGAGGGCTAGGGTTTGATTCAAGGGAGCAAGTGGGATGGGCCCTGCTGGTCCCTGGCTGTGCCTATATTTTGAGTCTGTCTCCAGCTCACCTTGCTGACCACTTTTCATCCATCCCTGGGATAGGGGATCTTGTGGCCCACTACCCACATGGGTATTTTCTGCGGAGTACGCTGATGTGGGCTATGACTTGTCAGTTATGGGTCCCAGAGACTGTCATGAAGACACCCCAACACATTTTCTTATTTATTCATTTGTATACATTTAGTTATTCAGTACTTTTTTGAATACTGTGCTGGGCATTGTTCTGGCAAATGAGTAAGACAGACCTGGCCAGGCACAGTGGCTCATGCCTCTAATCCAGCACTTTGGGAGTTTGAGGCGGGCGAATCACCTGAAGTCAGGAGTTCAAGACCAGCCTGGCCAGCATGATAAAACTCCGTCTGTATTTAAAAAAAAAAAAGTACAAAAAGTAGCCGGGCATGGTGGTGGGCACCTGTAATTGCAGCTACTTGGGAGGCTGAGGCAGGAGAATCACTTGAACTCGGGAGGTGGAGGTTGCAGTGAGCTGAGATGGCACCATTGCACTCCAGCCTTGATGACCAGAGAGAAACTCCATCTCAAAAAAAAGACAGACCAAGTTCCTTCCTTTTGTAGTGTAGTGTAGCAGGAAGGACAGATAGTAACCAACCAACTTCAAGGGCAACAGATGCCTTGAAAGAGGGGAAATCGGACTGATGGCAAGAGGTTGTGATCTTCCTTTCTCTACCCTTATCTCTTGTGAGAGCGGGCAACTTTAAAGATCAAAAATTGTGCCTCTCTTGTTAACTAAGTATTGTAACAAGGGCCAGCTAGGTGTGGGCACCGTTGGGCACTGAGGGTATATAGAGGTGAGGGAGACACTGGCTCTAATCTGTCAGAGCGTGAGGGGGTTATGGTAGGGGGACACAAACAAGAAATTAATGGGGCTGGGTGTGGTGGCTCGCCCCTGTAATCCCAGCACTTTGGGAGGCTGAGGCAGGAAGATTGCCTGAGCCCAGGAGTTTGAGGCCAGTCTGGGCATGATGGCAAGATGCCATCTCTACAAAAAAATGAGATTAAAAAACTAGCCAGGAGTAGTGGTACTCACCTGTAGTCCCAGCTGTTTGAGAGGCTAAGGCAGGAGAATCCCTTGAGCCCAGGAGTTTGAGGATGCAGTGAGCTGTGATTGTGCCACTGCAGTCCAGCCTGGGTGAGAGAGCAAAACTTTGTTTCTTACAAAAGGGGAAGAAATGAAGGGTACAGATAGAGTGCTGTGAGAGTCTAGAGAAGTGAGCTACCACTCCCAGCTAAGATAGTGTCTGGATTTAAGATAAACAAGGGATGAGAAGACGTACCTGGATCAAAGGAAGGCACACAGGATAGATGAGCACTTTCCTTTTAGCGTGTGCAGACCTGGGTAGCTGTTTGTACCACAATTCTGACCCATTCTCTTGTATTATTTATTTGTTTGAAATGTATTTATTTATTCATTTATTTATTTATTTTGAGATGGAGTCTTGCTCTGTGGCCTAGACTGGAGTGCAGTGGCATGATCTTGGCTCACTACAACCTCCACCTCCCAGGTTCAAGTGATTCTCATGCCTCAGCCTCCTGAGTAGCTGGGACTATAGGCACCCGTCACCACACCCTGCTAATTTTCTTTTTCTTTTTTGAGACAGAGTCTCGCTCTTGTTGCCCAGTCTGGAGTGCGATGGCACAATCTCAGCTCACTGCAGCCTCCGCCTACCAGGTGCAACCGATTCTCCCGCCTCAGCCTCTTGAGTAACTGGGATTACAGGTATGCGCCACCACACCCAGCTAATTTTGTATTTTTAGTAGAGACAGGGTTTTACCATGTTGGCCAGGCTGGTCTCAAACTCCTGACCTCAATGATCACCCACCTCACCCTCCCAACGTGCTGGGATTACAGGCATAAACCACCATGCCCAGCCTGAAATAATAAAATTTTTAATATTTTAGAAAATATGGAATGCAGCCAGGCACGGTGCCTCATGCCTGTAATCTCAGCACTTTGGTAGGCCAGGGCGGGCGGATCACGATGTCAGGCGTTCAAGACTAGCCTGACCAATATGGTGAAACCCTGTCTCTACTAAAAATACAAAAATTAACCGGGTATGGTGGCATGAACCTGTAGTCCCAGCTACTCGAGAGGCTGAGGCAGGAGAATTGCTTGAACCCAGGAGGTGGAGGTTGTGGTGAGCAGAGATTGAGCCCCTGCACTGCAGCCTGGGTAACAGAGTGAGACTCTGTCTCAAAAGAAGAAAAATATATATGAAATGCTTCACAAAATTGTGTGTCATTCTTGCACAGGGGCCATGCTAATCTTCTCTGTATGGTTCCAATTTTAGTATATGTGCATGTGCAGAATGGTGGAGCTGGGTTATCACCACAGGTCTAACTCCAGAATGACACCCTTCACTCCTATACTCTATACAACACCCCAGTATATAGCAGCGGAGCTAGGAAGAGAAGCCTAGTGTCTAGAGAGCCCAGAAAATCTAAGAACATACACACTAGGCAAAGAATATGAGATTAGGAGGAAGCCCAGCCACCTCAGCTGCACTGGTTAGGATCTGCTACCTCCCCACAGTCCTCTGTAAAGTGAGCCAAACCTCTATGCTGCAGGCTGCCTTCTTTCTACCCCCACCACCCCCATCCCCCAGGGCCTTGGGCTACTGGCAGCCTGGCTCCCCTGTGATATGGAGGAACTTGCTGGTCTCCATGGTTACAGTAACCCACTGGTATGGGAGGAACCGCATAAAGAGCGAGGCTGGCAGTGTGAGCTTTCCCCAGCCCTTGGCATTATGTGGTACTGGTATGTCGGCTGTTTCTCTTGGACCTTTTCTGGGAGGAAGGAGTTAAGGAACTGACGAGGAAGGGAAGAAGCCTGGCAGGACCACTGTCATCATCCTCTGGGCCACACAGAGGGCAGAGGCATGGGCACGTTGTCATTCACCACTCCTCTTGCAGGATGGTTTTATGTTAGTCTATCGAGACCATCCTGGCCAACATGGTGAAACGCTGTCTCTACGAAAAACACACAAAAAATAAGCTGGTTGTGGTGGCGCACACCTATAGTCCCAGCTACTTGGGAGGCTGAGGCAGGAGAATTGCTAGAACTCAGGAGGTGGAGATTGCAGTGAGCTGAGATTGTGCCACTGCACTACAGCCCCCTGGGCGACAGTGTGAGACTACATCTCAAAAAAAAAAGGGGGGTGGCTCCTCTTTGCCTGATTGCCCAGCCATGGCAAGAATTTGACTTTTCCTTGTTATAGAAGGAATACCAGGATGACAGGAATCAACTTAGCTACACTGGTACTTTCAGCCAAGTTCCTCGATATTGTAGCTTTTCCCAGAGCCCAGAGCCCTTGGAGATGGGAAATAAACCTACCTACACAAAAGTGAAGTAGGTAATAGGAGAATACATCACGACATCACTGAACACCAGGTTCTATGGTAAACTCTGACGTGGATTTTTTTTTTTCTTTTTCTTCATCTTCTTGAATTATCTTTTTTTCTTTTGAGACAGGGTCTTACTCTGTCACCCAGGCTGGAGTGCAGTGGTGTGATCATGGCTCACTGCAGCCTCAGCCTACTTCCCTGGGTTCAGGTCATCCTCCCACCTCTGCCTCCCAAGTAGCTAGGATTATAGGAATATGCCACCACATCCCAGCTAATTTTTGTGTTTTTTTTTTGTTTTTTTTTTTTGTGGAGACTGTGTTTTGCCATGTTGCCCAGGCTGGCCTTGAACTCCTAGGCTCAAGGGATCAGCCTGCCTCGGCTTCCCAAAGTGCTAGGATTGCAGGCATGAGCCACTGTATGTATCTGGCCAGATTTTCTTATTTAATAATCACTCTAATTCTGTGAAATGGGTATAGCTAGTATCTTTTTTTTTTTGAGATGGAGTTTCGCTCTTGTTACCCAGGCTGGAATGCAATGGCGCGTTCTCGGCTCACCGCAACCTCTGCCTCCTGGGTTCAGGCAATTCTCCTGCCTCAGCCTCCTGAGTAGCTGGGATTACAGGCACGCGCCACCATGCCCAGCTAATTTTTTGTATTTTTAGTAGAGATGGGCTTTCGCCATGTTGACCAGGATGGTCTCGATCTCTTGACCTCATAATCCACCCGCCTCGGCCTCCCAAAGTGCTGGGATTACAGGCTTGAGCCACCACACCCGGCAGCTAGTATCTTTACAATCCAAATGAGGAAACAGATTTGGAGAAGTCATGTCACTTTGCTCACATTCAGTCAGCTGGTAAGCAGCAAAGGTGGGCAGAGCAACTGCAGTTACGTTTTTATTTTTGTTGTTTTCTTTTTTTTTTTTGAGATGGAGTCTCACTCTCGCCAGGCTGGAGTGCAGTAGCAGGATCTCGCCTCTCTGCAGCCTCTGCCTCCCAGGTGAGGTGATTCTCCTGCCTCAGCCTCCCACGTAGCCGGGATTACAGGCATGCGCCACCCTGCCCAGCTAATTTTTACATATTTAGTAGAGACAGGGTTTCACCATGTTGGCCAGGCTGGTCTCAATCTCTTGACCTCATGATCTGCCCACCTCAGCCTCCCAAAGTGCTGGGATTACAGGTGTGAGCCACCACGCCTGGCCCAACTGTAGTGAGTTTTCTATATAGTTTCCCTCTTCTGAGTTTCTGGAAAGCAGGAGCCACATCTCACTGAGCTTGGCAACTGGAGCCAGGGCTTCAGAGTACTGTTCAACAAAGGTTTCCTGGGGCAACAGTAGTTGGGGATTTGGAGGGCATACCCCAGCAAGCAGATTTCAGGGATGAAAGTAGTCCTGGAAGCCTCTGAAACCCTGGTTGCTCAGTGAAATCCAGTATCAAGAGGAGCCCATCATTTCAGGTTGCTCTGAAGGCAGGAGGTTTGGAGAGTGCTTTTTGCATTGTGGCTTCCAGGTCTGAAGGGGAGTGAGCTGGAGGTGGCTCTCTGTTCTTACCTCTTATGCCATGTCAGGTTTTTCCCAGGCAGGCTTGAGGCCTGGGGCTGTGGGGGAGGGGCCGCCTCATGGCCCAGGCTATAGTGCTTATCTCCCTAGCTACCTTGGGGTGAGGATTGCAGCTCGGAGAGCTAAAGGGCAGTAAATCATGTTGGTTTTGGCCTTGTGCTTAAGTTGCAGGCTCTTCTGGTATCCTTTGTGAGGGGGGCCCCTACCCTGGCTGGAAAGAGGGAGCAGCCCCTACCTCCCATCTACAGTGGGATAGTAACGGAATCTGTTTCTCAAGTAAAACAGTCATCACAGTTAATTTTGGGTGTGGGAGCATCCAGCCTCTCCACTGGTAAGTGCCTGCCAGTTTTACAAGTTTGCTCCTCTGGTTTATTGACTCTTGGCAGTTGATAGCTGATAGTTGCTCAGAATCAAAGGATGCAACGATATCCACCTGGATATGGTGGAGGGAAGAAGGGTCAGAAAACTAGGGACTCCAACTTCCAGTTACAAGATGTCCTATATGGCTGTGCACAGTGGTTCACACCTGTAATCCCAGCATTTTAGGAGGCCAACGTGAAAGGATTGCTTGAGCCCAGGAGTTTGAGACCAGTCTGGGCAACATGGCAGAATCCTGTCTGTACAAAAAATACACAAATTAGCTGGGCCTGGTGGCACATGCCTGTAGTCCCAGGTACTCAGAAGGAAGATCACTTGAGCCCAGGAGGCAAGATCGTGCCACTGCACCCCAGCCTGGGCAACAGAGCAAGATCCTGTCTGAAATAAATAAATAAATAAATAAATATTGACTTGCCACAGGCACATGACTTTTTTTTTAAGAGGCAAGTCTTAGCGGGGTGTGGTGGCTCACGCCTGTAATCCCAGCACTTTGGGAGGCTGAGACAGGCGGATCACAAGGTCAAGAGATAGAGACCATCCTGGCCAACATGGTGAAACCCCATCTCTACTAAAAATACAAAAATTAGCTGGGTATGGTGGCATGCGGCTGTAGTCCCAGTTACTCAGGAGACTGAGGCAGAAGAATCGCTTCAACCGGGAGGCAGAGGTTGCAGTGAGCCAATATTGCGCCACTGCACTCCAGCCTGGGCGACAGAGCAAGACTACGTATTTAAAACAAAAACAAAGTTTTGTGCTGGGAGTAGTAGCTCACGTCTGTAATCCAAGCACTTCAGGAGACCAAGGTGGGCAGATTGCTTGAATTCATGAGTTCAGTACCAGCCTGGGCAAACTGGCAAAGCCCTGTCTCTATAAAAAATAAAAAATTAACCGGCCATAGTGCCGTGGGTCTGTAGTTCCAGCTACTCGGGAGGCTGAGGAGGGGAATGCCTTGAGCCCAGGAGGCAGAGGTTACAGTGAGCCAAGATCATGACGCTGCACTCTAGCATGGGTGATAGAGTCATACCTTATCTCAAAAAAAAAAAAAAAAAGGCTGGGCGCGGTGTCTCACATCTATAATCCCAGCGCTTTGGGATGCTAGGCAGGTGGATCACTTAAGGCCAGGAGTTGAAGACTAGCCTGGCCAAGGTGGTAAAACCCCATCTTTACTAAAAATACAAAAATTATCTGGACGTGGTGGCATGTGCCTGTAATCCCAGCTACTTGGGAGGCTGAGGTAGGAGAATCACTTGAACCCAGGAGGCGGAGGTTGCAGTGAGCCAAGATCACATCACTGCACTCCAGCCTGGGTGACAGAGTGAGACTCTGTCTCAAAAAAAAAAAAAAAAAAAAGACAAGTCTTATTCTCAGTCTGTCACCCAAACTGGAGTGCAATGCCACGATCATAACTTGCTGTTACCTTGACCCCCTGGGCTGAAACAGTCATCCTGCCTTAGCCTCCCGAGTAGCTGACACTGCAAGCCCATGCTACCACACCTGGCTAATTTTCTAATTGCAGAGAGAGGGTCTCACTTTGTTGCCCAGGCTTGTCTCGAATTCCCAGGCACAAGTCATCTCCCACCTTGGCCTCTCAAAGTGCTGCGATTAAGGCATGAGCAACAGTGCCCAGCCCCATATGGCTTTTGAGAGAGTCTCACTCTGTCGCCCAGGCTGGATTGCAGTGGCGCAATCTCTGCTCACTGCAGCCTCCCCCCAAGCAGTTCTCATGCCTCAACATCCGAGTAGCTGGGATTACAGGCAGGCACCACCACATTGTGCAAATTTTTGTATTTTTAGTGGAGATGGGGTTTCACCATGTTGCCCAGGCTGGTCTCCAACGCCTGACCTCAAGTGATCCACCTACCTCAGCCTCCCAAAGGGCTGGGATTACAGGTGTAAGCCACCATGCCCCGCCCCCATGTGGCTTTTTATCTAAGTCCCACCCTGTCTCTTCCCAGCCTTTCTGTTTGAGGTCAGTGCTTTATACTTCCTCAGTTTATAAAACCCTCTACTGTCTCCCACAAATAGGATTGACAAACAGTCCTTCTGTCACATTGCAAAGCCCTGGTTAAATGAAGGGACTGGAAAAAACAAGCTGTTTGATCCTGCTCTGGTTCTCAGTCTACCAGTGAGTGAAGGGGCCGGAGGTCCCAGGAAGGCTCGAGCCCAGGATCCAGAATAAACTACAGCTGACCTCCTCCACTGAAGTCAGGGCCCACTTTGAGGGGGCTGGGAAAAGGAAGGGTTGCCGTGGGACCACCAGGATAGGCCTGTAAACAGCACTCCACCATTGGTCTGAATCACACGTCATCGTTCATTGTCCCGAGCACCTTTCCTGAGTCTTCAAACCTCCCTCCTAACCTGTAGAGGAAGAGCCAGGGGCTTATCTTGTTTTGGGGGAAATGAGAGCACAATTCAGCATCAGGAAGGGTTGATGAGAAACTGGTAAGGGGGACTGACTGTCAGAAGCGGCAGAGTGCTGAAATGGTGACAAAAGCTCTGGGCTCCGGCCCCAGCTCTGGACTTAGAAGTGTTGAGATTTTGGGCAAGTCTCGTAACCTGTGAATGTCAGTTTCTCAATGGAAAGCAGGGAGACTACCTGCCCTGTAGGTCTGTGTTTGGAGAAAACAGTGTAAGCGTTGGGCATACAGTGATCAGAAATGTTGAATCTGCTGACCAGGGCTTGTGGGAAGGCAAACATTTCTCGGCCCCTCCTGAGTAGCATGTTCTTGTAAGGATGTATGCTTAAGTGCTGTGAGGGCACAGAGGAAGCTTTGCCCTTCCCTGGAGGGTTAATGGCTACCAACAGGAAAAGGTCATGGAGTTCCTTAATGAAAAGGAGCCTGGCCTAGAGTCCTGGAATGAATGAGAAATAGATCTGAGATCCAGAGGAAAGGCTGCAACCAGCACATAGACAGGGGTGGTTGGTCTGAAAGGAGAGTCTTCTCCAGATGAGAGAGCCAACTTGCTCCGAACTCACCACATACCCAGATAGTGGGGCTTAGCAGGAGGAAGGTGTAAGGAATCCCAGGCCTTTGGAATTCCTTGAAAAAACAGGTGTTTTGAAGGTAAGGCAGGGGATTGGTGACTGGAAACTTGGAGATGAGTGAGAATCTAGGGGTAAACTTTCAGAAGCAGGCCTAGAAGGAACCGAGAAGGGACATTTGGATCATTTATAGCTTTGGGGCAAAATCTAGGATTAAACATGATTTTATCATGGATAGAATGCTCTATGAGTGATAAAAGCCCGTTATCTAGAAAACATAGACCTCTAGGGGGCTTTACGTAGAGTCCCTGAACTCCCTGAAATTATATCCAAAGTATTTTGTGTCTAAGTGGAATGCGCATGTTTCTAAGGTTAAGCACTGCTTTTTTAGGAAGTAGGAGGTCCATCCGCCACTGTCGGCTTGCTGGTTTCTACTTACCCTCCTCCCCACTTCGTTCTTGAGCAGGTGGTTTGCTGGTCTTTGGCGGGGCTGCCACTCCGGGTCAGCACATCTGAGTCACACATATTCCTCCCCAGCCCTATTCAAGGCCTTGTTAAAGTGATCTGCCCCTACCCAAGTCCCACCTGCTACAGGTGAGATAGGGCTTTATGACAGCCGTGGCTGCAGTGAGTCTCCTCGCCCTCTCACCAGCTGTTACCCTGCAAAGTACCTTGGGGAGGGTGGGGCAGCCCACTTCCGGGGAGGGAGGGAGGGGGAGGGGAGAAGGAAGTTGATCTAAACCCGCCTCTTTCTCTGTCTCCCTTCCTGCCCTATTCCCCTCCTGCCCCTTCCCTCCCACCTTGCTCCTCGTGTACTGTCCTGGAATTGCACATACTTCCTGACCACCAGGCTCTGGCCCAGCGGGGCTTTGTCCCGGTTGCTCTCCTTGCCAAACCTCTCTGCTAGTGGTGGTTTCGGTTGCGACACTGTCCAGGTTCCCAGGCAGGAACCGCTCGGCCTGGCTGCTTAGCTACTTTTCACTGAGGAGGTGGTGGAAGGTGTCGGCTGCTCTGGCTGAGTAAGGGTGGCTGGCTGAGCCGGCAGCCCCCGCCCTGGGCCTGGCTCTTCCCGGCCTCTGTACTTTGCCCTCGCTGCCTGACAGGTTCTGCTGTGGGCTCTGCTGAATGGAAGTCGCTGGTAGTCCTTGTCCCTTTCTCCAGCCGGGTATGTTGTTCCCTTTTTCATCTGAGGATTCCCTCCTCCTCTTTCTTCCCTCTTACCTCAAACATAGGATCTTTAGAGAGTTGCTAAGTGGTGCCATGCCTGAGTCCAGCATAATAATATTCATGGGAAGGGTGTCCAGATGTGGAAGAGGCATTGACTAGGAAAGGAAGAGGAGGCACATACCAGAAGAGTCTCCCCTGAGAACAAGCAGCTGGACAAGTGGGCGAGGAGGGGCTGGTGGGAAGCAGAGGCCTGAAGCCTCAGGGAGGATGCTCCGGTGCTACAGTGAGGGGGAGCCTAGGATCTGGGGCTGTTGGCCAGGGCTACTGCCCAAGGGACACTTTTCTCCTTTGACTCCATAGTGCCCAGCTTACTCTGTTTCTGGCCAGGGAGTATCACCCCTCCCAGTTTGGCCCCTCCCCAGCCCTCGGGAAGCCAAAGGACACTTGAGTCCAGCCCTGATTGCAGAGCCCCAAAGCTTCTCCAAGGGCCAACTGTTGGTAGGCGCCTCCAGCATTAGGGCAGGGAGCCCTGCCTGCCTGAGTCAGCGCCAGGCCTCTTGGGGTGGAGGCTGTCTTCTGGGCGAGCTCACAACACACCTACCGAGTCTGAGATCCCAGACAGAAGGACCCTGGCAGATCCAGTGGATGTGAAACTGTCTTTTTCTTTTCTCCTCCATGTCCTGCCTTCTCTCTTCCTCTCAGTAACAGAACCCAAAGCTGTTTCAGCCCTACTTCTGAGTCAGGCCTGCTTAGTAACTGGTTGGTCTGCCTTTTGGTTCCAAATAACTGCCTTGCAGGGTAACCCCTTTTTCTTTCTAAAGGCTGTTTGAGAGCCATCGGGGCTACTCTCAACAGACCTCCTCCATCCTTTAGGGCTTGCCTGGGGTATGATGCAAGCCAGAGCTTTGGGAGTGCCTCGTGTGCTACATCTTACTATGAGCAGGGAGGATGGTGGTGCAGGGGAGAGCATGGCTTTCACCAGGTCCTGTGGAGTTGGCCCAGCAGGGCAGCTAATCCTCAGCCCGACATCCTGTTGGTGAGACCCAGTGCCAAGCTGAATGGTGTGCCCAGAACCACAAAAGGGAAACTCTGTCTCCATAGTAGCCCCTGCACACCTTTACCTCTTCATCCCTCAGGGAAGCACCCAGGTGAGGAAGTTGCCTCACTTGGGCCTTGGCCCAAGAAGCATTTCTTGGAGACTTTCTCCTCTCTATTCCCTTTCTCCTTTCTCTGCTTCTTCCCAGTGGCTTGCCGCCTTATGCTGGCTCACATCCCTGCTGTGGGAAACATCTTACAGCATAGTAGAGGGGGTGGGGGATAAAGGAAGGATTGAGCGCTTGGAGTCCTATGAGTTGGATGGTTCAGTCCTGAAAAGAGCGTTGGTGGCTTTGGAGCAGGGGATCAAAGAGCAAACACCAGTGCTTGTCGCTTCCCTGGCTCCTGAACAAGCAGAACCTCCTCTCTTTCCCTGTCCTAGATACCCAGCGTGGGACCAGTGCTTCACAATGACCCTGTCTTGAGTTCCTGACTCCCCTTCTTCCCTCTTTTGAAGGCTAGAGGTGCTGGTGTGGGCTAGCAACAGGCTGAGGGAGTGTGGCATTTTAGCAGGTCTGGAGGAGAGTGGGCACTCAGTCTGGCCCCCTCTGCAGAAAGGCCCCTAGCATCTCCTCAGCCTCCAGCTAGGCTGTAGCTGGCTTAGGCTCCACCTCGCTACAGAAGGTTGTTGACAATGAGACTGCTGGATTGGCGGGCAGTAGTATTTGGGGACTTAATGGGTGCTCTTACTGAACATTGGATAAGGCCTTTTACATGTGTTCTCTCATCTACCTGGGTAAAGTAGGGAATGTTTATAGCGACTTTACAATTAAAAAAATTAAAGCTCGTAGGTGGGGGAACCGGGACTTGAACCTGTTCTGTTGGACTGCAGCGTTCTCAGGATCGCTGCCTGGCACTGATGTGCCACAGTATTGGCTGCAGGTCTTTTGGGTAGTCTCTTCCTTGTTTGTAATAATCTCACCTCCCTCTTGACAATGTTGATGTTACACTTGTTTTGTTTTGGATTTTTTTTTTTCCTTTTTGTGAATGGGGTCTCGCTATATTGTCTTTTTAAAAATATATTGTCTTTTTTTTTTTTTTTCCTTTTTGTGAATGACAGGTCTCAAACTCTTGGGCTCAAGCTATCCTCCTGCCTCTGCCTCCCTAAAGGAGGCCCGAGCCACTGCACCTGGCTTGATGATGTTGATGAGAATCATAAAGTTAATATGTGCTGAGTAGGTGGCAGATTTAGGATTTGAAACCTGGCAGTTTGTCTCCAACATCTACAGTCTTAACTAGAAGGAAGAGAATGAATGGCAGAATCTTGCTTGTGGTGCTTAAGCTCCTTGAGGCCCAGCATGCCACAGGGCCAGGCAAGGAATGCTGACCTGCTGTGCCATGCACACCAGCCCCTCTGTTCACAGGGATGAGACGGGCAGAGCTTAGGAGGGGCATGGGATGCCCAGATTTGGTTTCAGAGGGGCAAAAGGCCCAAGTGCCAGGTGGGTGCTAAATCCCTGTTCTGGATTTTGAGAACTTAGAGACTGTATGCTTCCTGCTGTCTTGGGCTTGTATCCTCAGAGAAAAGGGGAGTGACAAGAAACTTAGAAGGTGTCATCCGACCTGGGTATAGGGAAGTAAGACAAAAAAAAAAAAACAAGTTAGAAGGTGAACTAGAGGTTGCCAAGGAAACTTTCCCACCCATCTTCCTCTTGTAGGAGTTGGGGCAGAAGGAAGGTTTTTCCTGTTCATTGCCCCCTAGGCAGACTAGGTAGGGTGGGAGGCAGTCTAACAGCACTTTCAGGGAGGATGGGGCTGAGAAAAAGGTAGCCAAGGAGGCCAGGCTTTCAGTACCCGGCTGGACAGGGCTAGGGTAGCCCTCAGGAGACTGGCCCAATCAGGTGCCAGCAGGGCCTAGAAATGCCCTTCTCTTTGAGGGGTGTGAACGCTAGAGTTCCTTTGGAAGGGAAAAAAGCAGGTATTCAAAAATCTGCTTGTCTAGCAAACACTGAGGATCAACCAGGCTTAGGTGAACTGCAGGGTGTGTGAACAGAGCACCGGCGAGCTCTATAGGCTGGAATGAGCAGACAGTAAGGGCTGGGGGGCTTCGTGGAGATGCAAAGGTCGGTGAGGAAGAGAGAAGGAAGGAAGTTAAAAGGGCCTCTTCTGGGATGTGAGGAGCGTCCCCCTTCAAACATCTAACCAGATGCATGGGTTCTTCCTCCTCCAAGTTCCAACCCCACGTGTTTCTGGGATCTGGTCTAACAGTTCACCAAAAGACAGCCTGCAGCTACTATGCAAAGGCCTATGTGGGCACAATGTCAGAATCAGGATACTGTACTTAGTTGTTAACTGTCGTTTTTGCCTGAAAAGCATCTGGGTGGGCTAGTAAGCTGCTTGCCTAGGAACGCTGGACAGTTCCTCGGGTAGTAGCAAGTCATTCTTTTTCTTTGTGGTTTTTGAGTGCTTCACTTACAGCCAACAGGGGCCATGAAAGGAAGAACTTTGACTCACACTCCTCTGGTCACCCTACTGCTCTCCAAACTGTTTCCTTGAAGTTTCCAAGACAGCTCTGGATGATTCTGGGATGAGGCTCTGGCCTCTTGTTTTGTTGCAGTATGCTGGAGCAATTGACCCAGATGTTCTTTGTGAGACATAATCAGGGCTCTAAACAGGAGTTAAAACAGACTCTGCCCCCATTTTTTTTGTTTTTGTTTTTGTTTTTTTGAGACAGGGTCTCGCTCTGTTACCCAGGTTGGAGTGCAGTGGCACTATCATGGCTGGCTGCAGCCTCGAATTCCTCCTGGGTTCAAGCGATCCTCCCACCTCATCCTCCAGAGCAGCTGGGACTACGCCACCACACCTGGTTTTCTTCATTTTTTGTAGAGACAGAGTCTCTACAAAAAATGTAGAGTTGCCCAGGCTGTTCTTGAATTGCTGGCATCAAGTGATCCTCCTGCTTCAGTCTCCTAAAGTCCTGGAATTATAGGCATGAGCACCTTGCCTGGTCCAGACTCTGTGAACAGTTTTAATGAGAGATAACTCACATATCATACAGTTTATCCATTTAAAATGTAAATGAGTGGCTTTTATTAAATTCACAGTTGTATATCCATCACCACAATCAATTTAGAACATTTTCATTAACCCAAAAAGAAACCCCACATTCCTTAGTCACCCTCAAATTCCCCCTATCCTTCTCAGCAACCGCTATCCTACCTTCTGTCTCTATAGATTTGTCTGTTCTGGGCATTTCATATAAATGGAATCATACAATATGTGGTTCTTTATGACCAGCTTTGTTTACTCAACATTGTTTTCAAGTTTCCTCTGTGTTGTAGCATATATTCTTTTTACTGCCAACCAGTATTCCCCGATATGGATATGCCACATTTGTTTATCCATTCATCCAGTTAACGGGCATTTGAATTGTTTCCACTTTTTGACTGTTATGGATTGTGCTGCTGTGAACGTTGGTTACAGGTTTTTGTGTGGATTTCTGTTTTCGTTTCTTGTGTGAATACTGAGGAGCGGAATTGCTGGCTCACAGTCACTCTGTTAGCGCTTAGAGGAACGTACACATCTTCATGTGGATGTGTATTTTTGTATAGACCATATCCATTTTGTACAGGTTGAACATCCGTAATCCAAAAGCCAAAATGGTCCAAAATCTAAACGTTTGAGTGCCAGTATGATGCCACAAGTGGAAAATTCTACATGTAACCCCATGTGACAGGTTATAGTCAAAATTCTATCACTTTGTTTCATGCACAAAATTATTTTAAAATGTATGAAATTACCTTCAGGCCATGTATATGAGGTATACATGAAAAATAAATGGCTTTCGTGTTTACACTTGGGACCCATTCCTTAGATACCTCATTATGTATATGCAGATATTCCAGAATCCAAAACAGTCCAAAATTTGAAAAGTTTCTGGTCCTAAGCATTTTGGATAAAGGATATTCAGCCTATATTATGTTTATATGCCTGTTGAGTGCTGGTCATTGTAGCTTCTGCTTCCTCATGCTCTCGTTTGAACCAGGAGGGCAGAGCAGGGCAGACTGCTGCCTTGCTCAGACCCAGTCGTTCAGTTCATTCATTGTACAAGTATTCATTGGGCAGCAAACATAAGCCAGTCTCTCTGAGAGCTGGGATGTATCCGTGCATAAAGAATACATGCCTGCTTTCATGTGCTTCCATTCGCACTGGGTGAGACAGCAAATAAATGATAAATAATAAAGGTTCATGTAAGTGTTGGTGGCGATGAGGGTGTTGAAACAGTTCTGACCATGTTGCTGCCAGGACTTTGAGATGCAGTCTTCTCCCAGTGTGCACAAGCAGCACAGAGGGAAGCAGGGTACTGGCTCTCTGTCCTAAGGCAGAGGAGCTATTGTGTTGCCAGGTGAGGTTCAGAGAGCCAGTGGTGGGACTGCTCTGCTCCTGAGCTTTGCCACCCATGGGACCTGGGCACCGGACCTTATGATGTGCTCCTTTGGAATGAAAACTGGCTGTCATCTCAGCCCCCTCTCCTTTCTTCTGCCCTATGACTCTTCACATGCCTACCAGCCCCCTGGAGTTTGCCCTGTACCCTTATTCCTTACGTATTTTGCAGAGAGCTGAGGGCAAGGGTTTAGGGGACTGGAAGGGTGGCATGTAATGGTATCTCTGTTTCCACCCTGCAGCCCACCTTGGGACACCTTGACTCCAAGCCCAGCAGTAAGTCCAACATGCTTCGGGGCCGCAACTCAGCCACCTCTGCTGATGAGCAGCCCCACATTGGAAACTATCGGCTCCTCAAGACCATTGGCAAGGGTAACTTTGCCAAGGTGAAGTTGGCCCGACACATTTTGACTGGGAAAGAGGTGAGCACTAGGGCTAGGGACATGGCAGCACCGTCTACCCTGGTTGATACTCCAGCAGATGGTGATGGGACTGCTACTGTAGCCATCCTCTTGTTTATTCAAGAGAAATGAGATCTGAGATAATAGGGTGCAAAAAGCTGTGGGATGAAAAGGAGTGGGAAATAGAAAGGAAGAAGTAGATTAGCGTCCTGGTTTCCACCTGGTCAAAGAAGTGATTTGGGGCTTTTTTGTCTCATGCTTAGGTAGCTGTGAAGATCATTGACAAGACTCAACTGAACTCCTCCAGCCTCCAGAAAGTAAGCACACAGCCCCTCCTGTCCCTTTCTAAACCCCTCTTCTGGGTTCTATGAGCTAGTGACCCCATTTAGACCTTCTCTTGAATTCCTGGTTTGAATTTTCTGGCCGTTGTACTCACCACCCCTCCCACACTTCCCTCCCATGGCTCTGCTGCCTTCAGGGCTTTAGTTGGATCCTCTGTGGGGACTCCTCCTGAGTGGGTTTCCTGGCCACAGGCACTGGCTCTTCTGAAGTCTTTCTGTCCATTCCCAGCCACTTGGCCTACCTGTCTGACCCACTTCCTGCATCTTGTTATCTTCTGGCTTGTGGCCAGCCCTATGCAAAAACACATGTTTGTAGCCACTACTAGAAACACACAAGCTTCTTCAAGATCTGGAGTGATCCAGGGGAGTGGCTTTAGAAATACGAGGATAGGAGGAAGCAGGGAACCTGCGCTGGGTTCGGTGCCAGCTATTTTTTAGAGAATGAGCTCTGGCTTAGATTTTCTGAACAAAACCTAGATCTGTTCATCTTGTGGCAAATCAGATATTTTCTCCATAAATATATTGTGGTAGTTGAGTTAGGAGAAGGCATGATTTGTGCTAACAGAGTCAGATACAGTGATACTGGCAACCTTCTGAGTAGGGGTTGAGGATTGTTGTTGAGGGCAGTGCTTATGGAATTAGAGTGGATGAGATGTTCCCCTGACATGCAAACAGCTAGAACCAAGGTGTTTCCTATTTATTGTTAACGCCAGAATCCCTTCAAGGGTTCTTCAGTTCAATGGAAGCATTGCTGTCATCACCAGGATGTCCCTGCTTGGAGCTTTCCAGGAGGAAGGAAAAAAGGGCTGCTCATGACATATTGGCTCCAGCCCCACAGAAGTAGAAGTCCGCATGGGATGGGCATTTGGTCTTGGGAGCAGTCTAGCCTGCCATCATAATAGTTGCCAGTCCACCAAGCCATCTTATTCCCTGCCTTGTTTTTCTCCCTAATTCTTCCTGACTCTCTGGAAGGCACCAACACCAGACAAATAGAGCCATTTTCAAAACCTTTGAGACTCTTTGTTACTAAAGCCAGTCTGATTCTGGCCAAAAATGTGATCCCAGCAATGATTCCTAAAAAATGAATATTGAAGAATCTAGCTCCCTCAGGGGTCTAGACGAGCTCAGAAAACCCCAAGTTCTCCCAGAAGAATGCCGCTTTCATGCCGGGTGAGCACCCTCAGGGGAAGAAGCCCTGGTAGCCACCACTGGCGCCATTTCAGTGCTGCTCTCCATGACTCCCCAGAGGGTGGTATCCAAGCTTTTTGCCTCTTCATCCAAAATATCTATTGGACCAGGGAAGAAAGTAAGAAAAACCTAGGCTCTGGCTGGGCGCAGTAGCTCACGCCTGTAATCCCAGCACTTTGGAAGGCCAAGGTGGGTGGATCACGAGGTCAAGAGATCGAGACAACCCTGGCCAACATGGTGAAATCCCATCTCTACTGAAAATACAAAAATTAGCTGGGCGTGGTAGTGTGCGCCAGTAGTCCCAGCTACTTGGGAGGCTGAGGCAGGAGAATTGCTTGAACCCGGGAGGCGGAGATTGCAGTGAGCTGGGATCGCGCCATTGCACTCCAGCCTGGAGCCTGGCAACAAAGCAAGACTCTGTCTCGAAAAAAGAAAAAAGAAAGAAAAACCTAGGCTCTAATAAAGGGTAAGGTCAACACTGGGTTCCTGAAGATTGGAAAGCCTCTTTCTTCTTTTCCTTTCTAGCTCAGGAGCTCTAGGGCATCATTAAAGGGGAAACAAATGTATTCACTTTACTCCATAAACCATATCTTGAAGTAGGGCTTCCCCTAAGCCCCTGACAAAACAACAACAAAAACTAGTTCTCTTCTTTGTGCAAGTGATGAGGCCTGGAATTTCAAAAAGCCCCACCTCCAGTTCTCTGGCCCCCGCAGAGGGGAAGGAGTTCATTTCTGTCATCTTTCTTTATGGAAGTACATGGTTTGGAGCCCCTGGTTTTGTTTCACAAAGAGAGCGTGAGTGTGTGGAGGTGGATTTGATTAAAATTGGCATCAGCTATATATAGGAGTGGCTTCTTCTATCATCACCCTGAAGGCCTATCCTCTAGAACAGAGCCCTCCGACTGCTGTAAATGAGAAAATGATGGGGTCCCTCTCTGGTGCTCTACCACCCCTTTACACAGACCAAGCTGGGGTGTATGCTGTCACTGAACCGAGGCAGCAGCTCGGGTTCTGAATATTCACGCACATGGGTTCGCACTCCCTCCAGTAGAGGCACCCAGCCAAAACCCGCCTGCTGTTTTGGGGCTGGATTTGGTAGACGCAGCAGAGGGCATGGCTGGCTCATCCTGATGCCATGCTGGGTAGCAAGTCCCCACAGCAGCCCTCCTCCAGCTTCCCTGGCTTCCCAGCCACGGGGAAGGCCATGCATGAGCTAGACAACAACGCTATTTTCTTTTCCCTGCCTGGTTTTGATTTTCTGGGGAAAAAAGTCCTAGCAGGGGCTCTGTTTGGAGGGACCTGAGGGGAGCAAGTTGAGCATGCCTGAGCCCTGGTATTTTATCTTCCAGCTATTCCGCGAAGTAAGAATAATGAAGGTTTTGAACCATCCCAACATAGGTGAGCATACCTTGTCATTTCTCTCTTCTTCCCCAACAGCGAGGCTCTGCTTTCCAGCTTCTCATCTTCTCTCTGAGATGCACTGCCTTTTGGAGTTTGCAGTCTTCAAGGAGTTTCCTGGGGAAGCTCAGCTCAAAATCCATCTCCCCTTCTGACACACTGGGCTGTCCTTAGTAGTTTGGCTGGCATGAGAGGAGCTTGTTCTTGGGAGTGGGAGATCCTGAAAGGAAGGGAGACTTTCGTCCCTAGGATGCTCCTGGACATATTGGAGAGCAGTATGTGGCCCCTGCTGCTTCTTGACTTAAGGCTTGGCCTTTTCTCTTGTAGTTAAATTATTTGAAGTGATTGAGACTGAGAAAACGCTCTACCTTGTCATGGAGTACGCTAGTGGCGGTAGGTGTGGAAATGCCTCTTCCTCTTGTGTCCCTACTTCTTCCACGTCCAGCCAGCTCAGACTGAGGTCCCTGCCTGGTCTCTTACAGGAGAGGTATTTGATTACCTTGTGGCTCACGGCAGGATGAAAGAAAAAGAGGCTCGAGCCAAATTCCGCCAGGTAGGTGTGACTCCATCCACAGGCTCTGGGCCCGACCTCTGCCTTTTGGGGTTTGACATGTAAGGATAAGCTGCCTGTACTTTGGGCTCTGCTTATCTGTGTGGCAGCTTAGCACTAGGTCACAGGGTCACTGCTCTGCCAGGCCCCGTGGCCCACTCTCAGGTGCCCCTGGGTTAACCCTTCTTCCTTCCTTTCAGATAGTGTCTGCTGTGCAGTACTGTCACCAGAAGTTTATTGTTCATAGAGACTTAAAGGTAAGGCACGCACTTCTCCTTGTGCCTGTAAGTGGGGGCTAGGTTGTCCCTCTTGGTTCTCCATGATAAAACCATCAATAACCATCAGGCCCTGAGTCTTCCAGGAAACTCGAGGCTTTCATTTGTTTTTTTGAGATGACCAGAAAGCCCCTAGGGCTGCTTCTGATAGAGACCTTGCGGCTGGACCTTGGGTTCCACCCCAGCCTGTGAGCAGGGGGCCTCTGCCATTTCACCTCCCAGCACATCACTCTTCAGTGCTGCCAGGCAAGGCAGGCACACTCCAGGCTTTTTCGGTCTTTCAGGCAACCTGGTAGCTGACCCAGGGAAGAGTGCTGAAAGTTCCGCAGCTGTATCCCAGCTGCTTTGCAGGCACGCACGCATATACCATCTCCATTACCAAGATGCTCAAGTTTGAGGACACCTGTGAGTCTTCTGGCTGCCAAGTCCTCACAGACATGATTTGATTAACCTGGGCCTGATGCTGAAGCTTTGCACAGCTCACAGGGTCTCTGGGCCTTCTGATCCCAGTCTCTCATTGCTGCCCGTGTGAGGAGTGGCCTACACTGCCATCCTCCTGCCCAGCCTGCACGCTGATTGAAGCCCTGCCCTGAAATTGGTGGAGAAGGTTCTGAGACTGAAGATGACTTCCCATTTGTTCTCCCATTCCCCTCAGCTCCTTCCTGCCTGGGGCCTTAGTCTGTTTCACTTCTTCCCTCATGTTTTCCATCTTACCTCCCAGGCAGAAAACTTGCTCTTGGATGCTGACATGAACATCAAGATTGCAGACTTTGGCTTCAGCAATGAATTCACCTTTGGGAACAAGCTGGACACCTTCTGTGGCAGTCCCCCTTATGCTGCCCCAGAACTCTTCCAGGGCAAAAAATATGATGGACCCGAGGTGGATGTGTGGAGCCTAGGAGTTATCCTCTATACACTGGTCAGCGGATCCCTGCCTTTTGATGGACAGAACCTCAAGGTGGAGTGAAGTGCAAGCTTTTTATGGCTTTTCATTTCCTCTCGGCCTCTGGTCTTAGCCCTGACCTCCCGCCTTTGCCACCTGTCTACATTTGTCCTGAGCCAAAGCTTCAGAGAAAGGCTTGCTGAGGTAGCAGCAGTCAAAGGCCTTCTGCACCTGGGAATGAATAACCTCAGTTCCTTTCTCGAAAGATGGGATAAGTTGTGTGTGTGTTCATCCCCCAAGGCAGTCCGGATTGCAGGCCTCGGACTGGTCAAGTTAGAGGGTACGAGGGTACTTGACTTCACTTGCCTCTCTGGTGAGGTGTCTGGTCCCAGCCTGTCTGCCTTCTTCCATACTTCATTTGTGTCTGCTTGGCCAGGCTTCAGCTCTAAGGATCCTGGATATTAGGTTTCTTCCTTTGGCCTTGGGGCGATTTCTAACCCTGGATCCTCCTACAGGAGCTGCGGGAACGGGTACTGAGGGGGAAATACCGTATTCCATTCTACATGTCCACGGACTGTGAAAACCTGCTTAAGAAATTTCTCATTCTTAATCCCAGCAAGAGAGGCACTTTAGAGGTGAGTGGTGGAGCCCAACTGGTGGGAGGGCCTGGGGTCCCCACAGAAACTTTCCAGCTGAGTTTCTTCCCCCTTCCCTTTTCCTTCTCTGTGCTCCCCAGCAAATCATGAAAGATCGATGGATGAATGTGGGTCACGAAGATGATGAACTAAAGCCTTACGTGGAGCCACTCCCTGACTACAAGGACCCCCGGCGGACAGGTGAGGCTGTGCTGGGCTGTGAGGTTAAGCTCGCCTAGGAGTTGAGGCCAGTCTTAACTATATGTCCCCCTCTGCAGAGCTGATGGTGTCCATGGGTTATACACGGGAAGAGATCCAGGACTCACTGGTGGGCCAGAGATACAACGAGGTGATGGCCACCTATCTGCTCCTGGGCTACAAGAGCTCCGAGGTGTGTGCTCCCTGCTCCATTCTGTGACCTGGCCAGTCTCACTGCCAGTAGCACCCCATGCTTCTGACACCTGTTTAGAATAGAAGCTCATCTCTGAGGAGGTGTGCTCTCTGCTCAACAATTTGAAGCTTCCGCTTTGGTGTCTAAGGTCCACTGGCCATTCACTGATCTCCATGAGTGAATTAATAGAAAGCCGGTAGGGTCTGGGACTGGGTTAGGGTTTCAATATAGGCAAGTTGATCTAGGTTAGTCTTCGTTGATTAGATGTGTCTAGGTCACTGGCTAGCACTTCTGTGTTGATCTAGATATCTTTGTGTCTCTTTCTGTATCTGGAAGTGTACGTTTCTGGGTGGGTGTGTGTGTGTGGGTCTCTGTGTCTGTCTTATAGGAAGCTTGAGTCTGTTGCTGCTGCTGCCTTTTTTTTTTTTTTTTTTTTTTTTTTTGAGATGGAGTTTCACTCTTGTTGCCCAGGCTGGAGTGCAATGGCAGAATCTTGGCTCACTGCAACCTCCACCTCCCGGGTTCAAGTGATTCTCCTGCCTCAGCCTCCTTAGTAGCTGGGATTGCAGGCATGCGCCACCATGCCTGTCTATTGAGTCTGTTGCTTCTGTTTAGTGCTTACATCTGGGTGTGTATCTGTGTGCGTGTATGTCCATCTTCCCGTCTGTGGATCTGGAGACTTTGTCATTGTTCCTCTGCCCATTTGGGTTTTGTTCATCATCTGTGTGTCCCCATATGAACCCCCAGCCTCCCCACGCTGCTCCTTAAGAGGCCCCTGGTAACACTTGGTACAGGCCCATATTGCTGTGTGTTGAGGGGAGTGGTGTCTTAGTCTGGACATGAGTTCTTGTGGATGTCTGTGTCTCTGGGTGTGTGGCCATATGTATTCCTCTCTGAGGGTGGGGAGTCTTTCAGGGACATATTTGGCTGTTGGTCAGTGTCTGTGTCAGAGCATGTGTCTCCAGGGTGAGGGGATGTGCTGGTCTTGCAAGTGGATGTCTGGGATGATCCTGGGGTGTGTGTGTGTTGCGAGACGGTGGTATGTGTAAATGTGTCCATCTTTAGGGATCTCCATGTGACTTCTGTCCTCTCTTGAAGCCACTTTCTTGAAGCCGTTTTCTGTTTCTTTCAGCTGGAAGGTGACACCATCACCTTGAAGCCCCGGCCTTCAGCTGATCTGACCAATAGCAGCGCCCCATCCCCATCCCACAAGGTACAGCGCAGCGTGTCAGCCAACCCCAAGCAGCGGCGCTTCAGCGACCAGGGTAAATGCTTTTGGGAGTTGTAGATGGGGACTCGCCCTCTCTGGAGAAGTCCCAGGTTCTGTGGGGTCTTGGGTAACACAGCTAAGTTTCAGTCCTGCTTCAGCCACTTATTAGTAACACGGCTGTGGGCAAGTGAATTCCCTTCCCTCGCCTCTGTGGAATGGCGGCTTGCTGGGTTGTTGGCCAGACCTATAGGAGATGACCATGCATGGGACTGGTGCTCAGCGGACCCCTTGGCCTCACCCATTCCCACCCTCCCTCTGGCCCAGCAGCTGGTCCTGCCATTCCCACCTCTAATTCTTACTCTAAGAAGACTCAGAGTAACAATGCAGAAAATAAGCGGCCCGAGGAGGACCGGGAGTCGGGGCGGAAAGCCAGCAGCACAGCCAAGGTGCCTGCCAGCCCCCTGCCTGGCCTGGACAGGAAGAAGACCACCCCTACCCCCTCCACGGTGAGCCGCCCCTCCCGCCCCTCTCCTTCCTTCCTGCGGTGGGGCCTGCCCTCTCCAGGCAGCTCATCTCTTAATTCAGACTCTGTTCCCTTTGGCTCCCACTTCCGCTTACAGTAGGAAGCCTCACTCCCAGGAGTGAAAGCAGAATCCTTTCCTTAACCTACCACTGTCTGCTTCAGGTGGAAGGGAGAGGAAGGGAAGAACATGGCTATAGACCACTTTGGTTTTCTGATAGAATGCTTGCCCTTTATTCCCCACAGAACAGCGTCCTCTCCACCAGCACAAATCGAAGCAGGAATTCCCCACTTTTGGAGCGGGCCAGCCTCGGCCAGGCCTCCATCCAGAATGGCAAAGACAGGTGAGAGACCCGGGTCCTGCCTGCCCCGCTCCCTAGGAGCCGCGTCTCACAGGGTGATGTCTGTCAGCAGCCCCGTCTCCTGTCCCTGCCAGCACATTGCTCCCTGCTCCCTGGAGTTCCATCCTGGCTGTGTCCAGTCCAGCTTTCCCCTCCCCTGTTCCACGCCATCGCCTCCTCCCCATCTTCCTCTGACTGCTTCTTGCAGTTTACCAAATGTGGGGCTGACTGTGGCCATCTCAGCTGCACACTCGCTTCTTGGCCACAGCCAGCGCACAGCAGCTGCCCTTCTCTAGACATGAGCACCTAAGGCCTTGTGTTGGAGGTTCCAGCTCAGGGCAGAACCAAGAGATGCCCATCTTAGGGGTGTACACATAGAGGGCAACTCCAGCCATCCCCAAGAGACCAGAGCTTCCCAGCCTTAACCATCAGTATTTCTTGGTTTTGCATTCCTGGCTTTTCCTCTTCTGAGTTTATGAAAGTTTCCCCTTAGCAGCACCCGACTCTTTATGCAGAAGAAACTCTCCTGTTCTTAGAATTCTTAGGAGGCCAGTGCAGCGTGGCGGCAGTGACCCCCGTCTGCTCTCCTTCATTTCTGGTTTCCTCTTCCCGGGCTCTGGCCTACCTTGCTGCTTCCCCACCTCACCTCCACTTGCCAGCCCCGCATTCCTGAGTTCTGACTTGCTTCCTGCTGCTGCCCAGGCCTGACCTCTGCCCTGCTAGAGCTCCCCAGCTCTGGCCCTTCCCCACCCTTGCTTCCTAATCCAGGCCTCCCACCCTCACTCACCCCTAACATGGGCCTCTCCGCTGCTTTTGTCTCCTAGCCTAACCATGCCAGGGTCCCGGGCCTCCACGGCTTCTGCTTCTGCCGCAGTCTCTGCGGCCCGGCCCCGCCAGCACCAGAAATCCATGTCGGCCTCCGTGCACCCCAACAAGGCCTCTGGGCTGCCCCCCACGGAGAGTAACTGTGAGGTGCCGCGGCCCAGGCAAGTGTGCTGGGGCAGCTGGTGCACCCGCTGCCCTCAGCCCACCCTATCCCCTCACCCCAGCAAATTCTTCTTCCCACTTGGGGGTCCTGCTCTGTTCTTGTCATCTTAGCCACAAGAAATGGGTCTGTCCCCTGCGGCCAGGAAGTGGAGGGAACAAAAAAGAGCCTTAGTGCCCCTCTTTTCCAGTTCTCCCTCTCAGAACAGGTATGCAGGAAGCTGTCCTAGGCTCCAAAGGGAAACCTTTTTGTTCTGAACCTTCCTGGGTTTCCTTAGGGACCCTGGGGATAGTCAGCATCACAGGGACTCAATCCTTGAGGGTCGATCCCCATTGTCCCCTTGAGGGTCCAGTCTGCCTGGCTCCCAGGGGGTCCGCTCTCTGCAGCCTGAACCACACTCCATACGTGGGTCCTTCCTTGCCTCCCTCCCTCCCAAACCATCTCCTTCCACTTCCACGAGACTTCCTTCTCACCAGTGTCCTCAGTAGTCACACCCTTCCTTCTGTGTCCTCGTGATGGCTGCCTCTGCCCTAGCATCCCCCTCCCTGTCCCCACCACAGGGTATCCAGGTGCCCAGTGATGATGGCTGTCCTGTACCCTAATGCGTCCCCCTCAACCCCACTTCTCTTCCCACAGCACAGCCCCCCAGCGTGTCCCTGTCGCCTCCCCCTCCGCCCACAACATCAGCAGCAGTGGCGGAGCCCCAGACCGAACTAATTTCCCCCGGGGTGTGTCCAGCCGAAGCACCTTCCACGCTGGGCAGCTCCGACAGGTGCGGGACCAGCAGAATTTGCCCTACGGTGTGACCCCAGCCTCTCCCTCTGGCCACAGCCAGGGCCGGCGGGGGGCCTCTGGGAGCATCTTCAGCAAGTTCACCTCCAAGTTTGTACGCAGGTAAGCACGGAACTTTGGGTGGCAGAGAGGCTCAGGCCAGGCCTTCCTCCTTGATTGGGTGGGGGTTGGGGTTGGGGTTTTGGACACTCTGTGCCTGTATTGGGTCTTGGGGTTAGAAGAGGCTTCAGGAAGCACAAGAAATTGGGTCTTTGTCAACTCCTTATGTGCCCATGCCCAGCCCCACCCCTCTTAGGCCTCTCCCCAACTCCCCACAGGCACCCCTCATTCTCTGGCCCCAAGCAGATGGCCGATGCCGCCTCCTCTCTAGGAGAGTGTGAACTCAGATGCTAAAATAAAAGCCCCCCCTCTCTCCTGGGTTCCCATGGAAACTTATATTTGGTGACGCAGCTGCAAAGTCATGAGGCATGAGCCAGGCTGGGGCCAGCAAGGAAAATTTTGTCCTGGTCTCTTGCCCCTTTGACCACCTCTCCCCCTAGTTGGTTCTGTCTGACTGCAGGCCCAGGGATTCTTAGGGTGAAACCTATAAATGAAATCAGTGGCGAGGGCCCACAGTGGCCTCCTCCCCAACCTAACTCCTATGTGCCAAGGCTTTCCTCTGTTGGACCCAGGGTATGGTCTCTTCAGGGGGTTTCTCATACCTGAGCACCCAACCCCCACAGAGGGGCGGCTTAAAGTACATCCAGCCATGTGGCTGGCCTCCTGAGATGCTCCACGTCCCCATCCCACCCATTCTACTCCCCACCTTGGAGTAGCAACTCAAGAAGCAGCAGGGGCCTGAGAGAGCAGGCGTGCTGCCCTTCCCCTACGTTTCACTCCACTCCGCTGGAGCCAAAGCCACTGCCCAGCCCAAGCCCCAGAATGCAGGTGTGAGGCTGCAGAGAGGGAGGGCAGGTCTGGAGGCCTGGGGCTCTAGTCCTGGTCCAAGCCCCAGAATGCAGGTGTGAGGCTGCAGAGAGGGAAGGCAGGTCTGGAGGCCTGGGGCTCTAGTCTCGCTGAGCGGCTCTTCCAAAATGGGATGACCCATGAACCTGTAAAGCCCACTCCCCACCTGCTTATCCACATACCGTCTTGTTGGTTTTTTTTTTTATTTCTCTTTTTATTTTGTCTTTTTTTTGTTTGTTTTTTTTAGAAATCTGTCTTTCAGGTTTGCCAGAAGGTAGGCGTTGAGCCCGCTGTGTGTGTGTGTGTGTGTGTGTGTGTGTGTGTGTCTGTGTGTGTGTGTCTGTGTCTGTGTCCTGTGTCTTGCCTCCATCACTAACTCCCCTTTTCTGGCTCTTACTCTCCTCCATCTGCTTAATCAAGTCTGTGTGGCCCTCCTCTCTCTGCCATCTTAAAGGGATGAAGACTCCCTCTGAGTGGGCATCGGCACAGGGCCTGCCCTCCATGCGCCCAAGTGCAAACAGGCAGGGCTAAGAGGCCACGTTGCCCTACTCTGAGCAAATAGGCTTTTAAAATGAGGGGCCTTCCTTGGGCCCACAGTTACGCCTGTCCTCAAGTCAGAGGAGACCATCTCAGGGAAGCCTCCCTTTAAGATTGTCTCCTCTCACCCACCCCACCCCCACTCCCCCTCACCCCAGGTTTTGGTCACAAGTGTTGGGATCCTTTTCTGGCTCCTTCCCTGTCATGTGCATGCGCTGTGAGGAAGCTCCAGGGTTACGAGCGCATCTGGGATGCTTTCACCTTTGTTGTCTTCTGGGCTTCCTGAACTTCAGAGCTGTGTGACCTCTTCCCCGTGGCCTGTGGGATGGCAGGACTTTGGAGACACTACAGGGACCCTGGGGCCCCAAGGTTTCAACTGTGACTCCTCCAGACCTAAGGAGCTTTTGTCACAAATGGAGCACAGCACCCCCTCCTGGCAGCTCCTGCAGACCTAGGCCCCCTCACCCACACCCCTGCCCCAGCACCTCTGCCACCAGCAGCATCTAGATAAATCAAGCCTCTTCTCCTGTAGGCTGTTTTGTGGAGATATGGCCTGTCCCTTCCAAAGTGCCAGGAGCTGGAACATTCTAGGGCAGGGGCCATTCTACCCCAAGCCCTAGCAAAACAGCTGGCAATCTCTGCACCCTCACTGTGGGTCTCCCTTCACGGGCCCCATCCTGGCCCTTTCCGCGCTGGCCTTATGCTCATCCTTTCTGCAGGCCTCAGGGGCCAAATACCAAGCTGAAAACCAGGGGTCAGGTTGAGAGTGCGGGTTCCCCAGTGCTGTCTGCTCAGGCCCTGCACTGGGGCTGGACACCTGGCAGGCACATTGGCGCCACTGCTGACAGAGGAACTGTCCAGACAGGGTCTTCAGGCTTTCCCCATCCCCTCCTCCTCCCACCCAGCTCTTGACTGCATGGCTGGCTGCTGCCTCAAGGAGCCCAGCAGGGGGCTGCCCCACAGGGGGTCTGGAGAGAGCAGGGAGGTGCCTTCCTCGCACAGCGGGGCTCTCTGCTCGCAGTGCGCTTGTGTGCACCCCCGTGTTGGTTGTGTCTTCCTGTTTATTTCTATGTGCTGCTGCTGCTCTTTCTCCCTCCAATCACATCCCCCCTCCTCAGCAATCCCCAATTTCCTAGCTCCAGACACCCATCTTTCAGCCAGGAGCTGGAGAAGCCGCTCAGCGGGGCCAGACCTCTTCCCCACCCACTCCCCCAAGGTGTCTGCCCTGCCCCGCCCGCCCCATCCTCCCTGTTTATGAGCAGATGGCCTGGCAGGCCGGCAGGTAGGGGAGTTGGGAAAGGTTGGAGGAGGCGGCGTTTTGCACTCAGCAGCTGGCATCCACCATGCAGACCCAGGCCGTGGCGCTTTGAGCCTCGGGACGGAGGCCTCTGCGTAGCCCCGGCCCCTCCCCCACAGAGATCCAAAGCATTGTAGCCCCTTTTCTCCAAAAGGACTGCAGTCCTGAGACCCTAGCGTGTGGCTCCAAAAACCCACTCACACCCACAACCCCTAGAACAGCGCATGAGCCCTGGCTGTGGGGGAGCAGCCTCGTGCCGGGCCGTGTGCTCAGTGTGCTCAGCGCGAGTTTGTGCACAGCCACGCCCCCTCCTCCCCCAGAGCAGAGGCTCCTTCTCCCTGGCACCTGGTAGAGATCTGGGAGTGTGGGGAGGGACAGGCCCATGTGCTGGGCTCCCTGCTGGAAAGGAATAGTGGAGCCACCAGTGTGAGGTGCTGCAGAGCCCTGCTGGCCTGCCGGGAGATGGGCAGAGGGCCCTGGGCTCGGATCCTGCCCACCCACTAGTGGCACCTCCCCAGACCCACTCTCATCTGGGTCTGTGGTGGTGGAAGGAGCGAGAGAGCTCAGCACTAAACTCTCCCTCGCTCTGTTTTTTGAGGAACCTGAATGAACCTGAAAGCAAAGACCGAGTGGAGACGCTCAGGTGAGAGGGCTGGAGCCAGCACTGGCCCTGCCCGGGCCACCGGGCTTGCCACAAGCCTCCTGCTCCTCTCTTCCTTCTGCCACTTGGCTCTTCCTCCCGTGGTTCTGCCCTGTCCCTACCCTCTGGGGCCTCCCTTTCCTCAGAGAGTTTCCCCTTCCCAAACCCAGTTGCAGGAGTTATGGGCCCTTCTCAGGTCTGGTATATTCTGTGAGTCTTGAGTTCTGGGTCGGGTGGTCGGGTCTACAGATTCCTACCCCTGGACTACTGCCCTCCTCTTCCTGTCCCTGGACTACTACTCCCGCACCCCCACACTGCTTCCTACCCCTGAACTCCTCCTCCCTCCCCATCGTCCCCTCCACCTGGTGCTCTGAGGCTCCTTTCTAGAGAGGCAGCCTATGCTCGCGCTATTGAGGGCACTGGTGTCTTCCCTAACCCGGCTCCCTGCTCAAGGCTGGCTTCTCCTCCCCTTCGCTGTCCTGAGAGATGGGGATGGAGGACGGCCTCCCTCTGCCCCCTGGGGCCGGGCTGCACCTCGCTGCTCCTGCTCCCTCTCGCTCTCCCCTCTGGTCTCAGGGGCTGTCTGCCAGGGTGGCTCTGTGGGGGTTGGGTGCCTTAGCCCCCCCACCGCCACCATGACGCCTGCCTCTGCCCTCTCCACAGACCTCACGTGGTGGGCAGTGGAGGCAACGACAAAGAAAAGGAAGAATTTCGGGAGGCCAAGCCTCGCTCCCTCCGCTTCACGTGGAGTATGAAGACCACGAGCTCCATGGAGCCCAACGAGATGATGCGGGAGATCCGCAAGGTGCTGGACGCGAACAGCTGCCAGAGCGAGCTGCACGAGAAGTACATGCTGCTGTGCATGCACGGCACGCCGGGCCATGAGGACTTCGTGCAGTGGGAGATGGAGGTGTGCAAACTGCCGCGGCTCTCGCTCAACGGGGTTCGATTTAAGCGGATATCGGGCACCTCCATGGCCTTCAAAAACATTGCCTCCAAAATAGCCAACGAGCTGAAGCTTTAACAGGCTGCCAGGAGCGGGGGCGGCGGGGGCGGGCCAGCTGGACGTGCTGCCGGGCCGCCGCGCCGCCCCACCCCACCTGGGTGAGACTGCAGCGATGGATTGGTGTGTCTCCCCTGCTGGCACTTCTCCCCTCCCTGGCCCTTCTCAGTTTTCTTTTCCATGTTTGTGGGGGGTGGGAGATGGTTCTCCACACCCCCCACATTCAGCCCTGCCCAGAGATTCCCCCTTCCCCTCTCCCCCACTGGAGGCAAAGGAAGGGGAGGGTGGATGGGGGGGGCAGGGCTCCCCCTCGGTACTGCGGTTGCACAGAGTATTTCGCCTAAACCAAGAAATTTTTATTACCAAAAGAAAAAAGAAAAAAAAAAATCCCAGCGGCCACCTTTCCTCCCTGCCCCATTGGGACAGTCGAGACTGGATCTGTGGGGTTTCCCGGGAGGGTGGCTCAGGGCTGGAACACTCTCAGGCAAGAGTGGTGGAGCTCCCGTCAGGCCCTCCGCCAGGCCCACTGTGGGCTTCTCCCCTCTCCTCCCTCCTTCCCCTCCAAGCAAACCACCAGAGGTGGCCTTCCCCTGACCTCAGGCCCCTGGGCTGGAGGCCTGGGCAGCGGGGCGGGGTGGGGCGGGGGTGCTGCGCAGCCCTGCAGTGGGTGGGGCTGGGGGCTGCTCCGGGCTGCTGAGGCTGGAGGGCCAGCTTGAGGCTCCGCCTCCCTCCACACTGTACCCTCTGCCCCTCCTTCCCAGAGCTGGGCATTTCCTTCCACAAGCTGCTGTGGGGACGTGTGTTCCCTCCTCAAAGTCTGTGCCATCTTCTCCCACCCCTCCCGGGTAGAAGGAGGGGCTGACCCCAGGGCTGGGAGAGGGGAGGGGACTGCAGGGCAGATTGGCTCCTCTGTCCCCAGGGGGCCGCTTGGGCTCTTGGTCTCCAGAGCCAGGCCGCTGGGCACTGTGTGATGGGGGAGCCTTTGTCTGAAAGCACAGCCCCCTCACCCTTCCTCTCCCCATTGGCTTCCCCTTCATTGGCATTAATCTGGGCACCAGCTCTCTCCATAGCAGTGACTTCCCTCACCACTCTCATCTCTCAGCCTTGCCTTTTCTTCCTGACACTGTCGCCCCTCCTCTCAGGAGACACTGCCCAGGGCCACCTGGCAGAAGGCTGGGTTGGGCAGCAGGGCCGGGAGCATCTGCCCTCCACCGGGTGGGGGACAGATAGGCAAAGCGACTCCCAGCTTGCTACCCTCAGTGGCCGGCGTGGGCGTGGGCATGGGCGGTTTTGGGCGCTGGGCTGGTGGTGGCCACTGCATCCCTTAATTTATTTCTCTGCTGTTTCTGTTCTTGAGAAATTGGGGGAGGGAGTCCTATGCAGAGGCTGCCCCTACCCTCACCTGAGTTGTACATTTTTTTTGTGATGGGTTTTATTTTTTATTTTATTATTTTATTATTATTTTTTTTTGATTTATGATGACTCCACCCCTCTTCATCACCCCCGCTCCCAGGCCAGGCTCAGCGATTAAGTCGAGCCCTTGGGTCCTAGGAAGGGGCCTCGCCAACCTCAGCCCTCCTGCCCCACACTCCTACTGCGGCTCAGACCAAGGGCTCCCCTCCCTCCCTTCCCCCCTCCTGCCCTATGGAACAGCCCGGGTGCTCTGAGGGGGCCGGGAGGGCATGGCTTGGCTCCCAAAGGGGGTAGGGGCCTGGGGCACCCAGGCAAGGTGGCCCCTCCCCATCTAACCCCCTCCTCCCCAACCCTGCACTTAGTTTCTCCTCTGGATCAAACACGTAATAAAGAGAATGTTTGGAATCTGAGCTGCCTCCTCCTGTTTCTTCTCCCAGCCAGGCAGGGACCCAGTCCCCTGTGGGCAAGATGTGGCCCAGCCGCCTGCCTTGCAGGAGACCAGCTCCCCACCCACCCTCAGGGCACAGACAGGAAGCAAAGCCCAGGGCCCTTGCACCAAAAGGGAAAGAAAACTCACTCAATAAGCTTAGGAGGTTTTATTTTTTATTTAATTTTTTAAAAATGTTGAAAAATAAATCCAAGTCTGCATAAGTTCCCAACCCCCATTTCTCCAAGCTTCTGGAAGGCGGTCCTGGTGGGTACCCTCAGCTCCTTAGCACTTCCCAGCTGACCCCTGAAGACAGAGCTTCCCTTCCAGCCTCTGCTGCTGTAAGGCCCCTCTGCCCACCTCCCCACTGCAGCCTCCCTCCCCACCTCACCCCAGACTTATTGCTAAAAGAACGGAAAGAGGAATGAGGACAGCCAGCACACCCAACTGTCCTCTCTCCACCCCCATGCTAAGGTCACTACCCCCCACACAGAAAGGGCAGGGCCCAGAGGCCAAGCCCCAACAGACTAGGAGGCAGCCATTCCAGTCCCGGCCAGGAAGCAAAAGTGCCCTCAGGCCAGCTCAAAGGCTCCTGAGCCCCGGCCATAGCCCCTGGGAGACAGGCCCAGCTTCCAGGAACACATGCAGAACCCACAGGTCTGGGCCGGGCTGTCGGCAGCTCTGGGTCTTGGAAAGACCAGGCAAGAGCCCTAGTCCCTTCTGTCCTCAGTGACACTAGCGATGCCTGGGGATGTCCAGCAAATGGGTCCTGGAGCCTGTGGTTGGTGGAGGACCTCAGGGCTCAGAGTGAGGGTGCTGGGGGCTCCAGAGGGGCTCCAATCAGGGTGGGTGGGGGCTGAGGGCCAGGTCGGGCACTGTGGCGGGAGGCAGCCAGAGCGGGGCGGATGAGAGGTGGTGGGGGTTGGTTGGGGGCCAGCCGGGGCTGGAGGAAGCGGCCCTGCTGCAGTGGGGGTGGCTGTCGGAGTAGAGTGGGAGCCGTGGGTAAAGGTGGCCTCAGCAGTGGAGGTGGCTGAGACAGTGAGGTGGGAGGTGGAGGGGGGGGTGGCGCAGGGGGCACTGATCGGGGCACAGATGTGGAGACGGATGTAATCTGGACCTGAGGGGAGAAAAAAAAGAGTAAGAAGCCAAGCTCTTCGCCGCCTCAGCCAGGTCTAAGGACTGAGGCAGCACCTCGCCTCGCCTCTCCTCTCTGAGGGTTTTCTCTCATCCCCTTCTCACCTCATCATCTTCCTCTAGGGCTGGGGCTGGCAAGGGAGCCCCTCTCCTAGCCTCCTCCATGGGGACTGGGGCTCCAGGGGCCCCATCCTGCTCAGCCTCCCATTCCTGCAGCACCTCCTCCAGATTAAAGCGGCGCCGGTAGCTCACAAAGAAGGTCTTCACCTGGGTCAGAGTCTTGTTCCCAATCACCTCTGCAATAGCCCCAAAGTCTTTGCCATACCTACGGATGGCTGCAAGGGTCAAAAGGGCAGCAGTGTCAATACCCCTTAGAACTAGTTACTTCCCTGACCCTTTCTCTCTGCCCCACGCTCCTTGGAGGGTGGGGAGATAGATTCCTGCAGTCATCTCTTCTCACCACAGTTTAACCCACCTTGGACAGCCAAAAGCTGCTCATCCGTGGTCCAGCGGGAGTTGAATTTGGTGTTGGCCTGGAAAGCAAGAAACACACATATTCTTTAGACTCAAAACTGTGCAGAAGGCAGCCTTGCTCCCCAAGCAGTACTCTTTCTGTTCTACTCCAGAGAGAATCCCTTTTGCACCCTAACTTAAGGAGCCGCCATACCTCCGGGGGTCGGAGTGGATCAATGCCGCCCTCCAGGGCTTGGCGCAGACTGCTGTTCGTCTGCTTCATGCTCTGTACCTGAGAAGGCCAGGAAGTGGAGGAACATCAGACTCCCCATCTCAGGCAGGCCACCACGCCCCTCAGGGCCCTACTTCTGCAGACACCAGCACCACTGCCCCAGCAAAGGTCTCTGCCATCCACCATCTGGCTTGTTCCCCCTGCACAGCTACTCAGTAGGGAGTTCTCCCCTTTCTGCAGACCAGGTTTTATTTATTTTATTAATTTTTGAGACAGAGTCTCATTCTGTTGCCCAGGCTAGAGTGCCATGGCAGAATCTCGGCTCACTGCAACCTCTGCCTCCCAGGTTTAAGCGATTCTCCTGCCTCAGCCTCCTGAGTAGCTGGGACTACAGGCGCATGCCACCACACCCAGCTAATTTTTGTATTTTCAGTAGAGATGGGGTTTCACCACGTTGGCCAGGCTGGTCTTGAACTCGGACCTCAGGTGATCCACCCGCCTTGGCCTCCCAAAGTGCCTAGATTATAGGTGTGAGCCACCGTACCTGGCCAGCAGACCAGTTTTTAAAAGAGGGCCCCAAAAGAATGCCACATTACCCAGAGTCTCAGAGGATGGGGCTCAGCCCCTGAATCATCTCCCTTACACCTTGGCTGTCCCCAGAGTTCAGTTCCCAGGTGCCAAATACCCCCTCTGCATAGCCCCTTAGTTTCCCAGGCCCCCACCTGGCGTTTGAGGGAGATGAGTTGAGAGTCAAGACCTCGGAGTGTGAGGTTGGCAAGGTCCGGGCTTCCTGACACTGCCGTGAGGCCCTCAGGACTCAGGTACATGCCCTTGGGTGGGCGACGACGGGTTCGCAAAGGGTGGTGGCGGTACTGAGACACCTGGACCTCCTTCTTCCCAGGGCCTGGGCGTGCATTCAGGGGCCGAGAGGGCAGAGGCTGCCAGTGAAAGGAGAAGCGGGTAGGTGGTCCAGAGCCCGAGAGAGACAAGAGGGCAGGCAGGGCCTGAAGGTTCTGGGAGCTCACCTCTCTCTTGGGGTCTCCAGCATCAGGCTCTCCCTCACTCACACCTCCTCGACCCTCTTCAAGCTCATCACTGCTGACACAGGGGCCAGGGAGGGAATGAGGCAGGTGCCAGGAGCTGTGCCTGCCCCCCTGCCCAGTGCTTGCTCCTGTCCCCACCTGTCTTCTCTGTCCTTTCGGCCCCCCAGCCGCCGGGCCTGTCTATCCATCACGCTAGTTCGGCTTCGGGTCTTCTTCCAAGAGTAGTAATATTTCACCAGGCTGGGAATCAACTTGTCGGGCAGCTGGAGGAGGCAACGCCAGACGCTGGGGCTCACCCAAGACTCTGGGCCCCAGGTAAGCTCTTCAGAAAGGAGGGGCTGAGGTGAGCCAGGGAGTGGGAGTGGAAGGGCTTTACCATCTGCTGGATCCGCTGGAAGCACTTTCCGTGGAAGCCAAAGGCCTGTTCAAACAGCACCTTGTCCTCTACTGTCCACTCATCAGGGAACGGAGTGAAGTTGGCTAGGTCAGCCAGCGACTTCTCCACATCGTGCTTATGCCACAGGAGCATGCCCAGTGCCTGGCCCGGGACAAGGGGCAGTTCAGGCTTAGCTGCCCTCAGTACATTCCACCCCACTCCCAAGTTCCTGGGGGCCAAGCCTCACCTGCTCTATGTTGTAGCCATGCTTCTCCTTGGCCATCGCAATGTACTTGTCAACTGCAGGGGCAGGAGGGGCAGGCTCTTGGAGAAGGAGGTTATAGCTCCTAACCCAGGCCTGTCCAGAAAAGGACCACCCCCCCATCTGCCAGGTCCCTCAGCACCAGCCCCAGGGCAGGGGTTGGAGCCCCACACGCCTCAGCCTCCAGCCCCTTCTGAGAAGAGTGGCCTGGAGCTGGGATGAACCCAAGCCCCCACCTCCCAGGGATGTGCCCACTCACGCTTGGCATCTGACACACAGTGGTTGGGTGACCACACCAGCATCCCCTTCAGCTCCTTGTTGCTGTAGCGTGCAGGGCTCTCTGAAAGGCCAAGGAGCAGGAGGGAAGACACTCAGATCAGCCTGGTGGCACAAGCCTGGACCCATGCCAGAGGGTAGCAGAGGAGTGGGGCCTGGGCGGTGAGGCCCAGAAGGGAAGGAGGGGCAGAGGCCCAGACAGGAAGGCAGGGCAGGAAAGCTAACCATGCCACAGGGCCACCCACCCCGCCAGTCTGTCCTTCCAGGGGGAGCCAGCCAAGGGTGCCCCAGGTGGAGCTTCAGGCCAAGCCCCAGGCCTCCACCCCCACCCACTTCACAGCCTGTCCTGCCACTCACCAGGCTTGCACTCCGGAATTACCGCCTGGTAATTGGTTCCAACGCGGATCATGCTGTCTGTGGAGCCAGGGGGAGGCAGTCAGGACTCCAGGGAGGGCGGGTGGGAGGGAGGATGTGGCGGGGGAGCTGGCTGGCCTGGAGTTCTCCTTCCTGACCACCCAAGGCCCCACCTTCCAGGAGGCTCACTTTTCCCTGATTGTCCCCCTCATTTACCTGCAGCCACAGAAGGGACTGGAAGAGGAAAAGACCCTCTCCAGCCATGGCCATTGGGGCTGGAGGGTGGACAAGAGGACAGTTTTAGAGCCCAGGCCAAGCAGAGTGCTTTGTTCCGGCTGGGGGAGGGGAGAGGGGTTGGAGGGCAGCCCCTAGGCCTGGACCACAGCCCTGCAAGGACCCCAAGGCTCCTCCTCACTGCAGGAGCCTGAGCTCCGTGTGGAGGTGTCTCTCCAGCCTCTGCTCCAGCCAGACCTCAGTACCCTGCAAGGTAGCAAGATATGAGGGACCCACTCTGTGCAAGGGAGGGATGCCTCGGTCCCTGAGGGGCTGAGGGCAGGGCAGGGACGCCTCCACAGCAGCTAGGGGCCCAGGTTCCAGATTGGCTGTGCCGGCAGCCTGGGCTAGGGGGAGAAGCAAGACAGAGGCTCCAATCCAGGAGAGGCAGGAGCCATTGGGGTATCAGGCTCGTGGTCTGCAGCTCCTCCCCTTCCCGCCCCACTCCGCTCCCTCCAGGCCGGCGCGCCTTTAACCCTAGGCCACCGGGCTCACCGTGCGAGTGCTCCTCCTCGCTGCTGTCATCCTCCGAGTGGGGCTGTCCGCCGTTGGGCACCGTCTTGGCCCGGCTGCGGGACAG